GGGCCCATTAGGGGGTTGAGGAGCTCCCCGCTGTCACTCACAGAGTAAGGCCAATAGGGGAGTTGGGGCACTGCCCCCTGTCACACACAGAGCAGGGAGGATCAGGGGGTTGGGGCGCCTCCCTCTATCACCCACAGAGCAGGGCTGATCAGGGGGTTGGAGCGCCGCCACTGTCACACTCAGGGCAGGGCCGATGGGGAGGTTATGGCTCTACCCCGTCACACACAGAGCAGGCCCGAGGGGTGGGGGGGTTGGGGCGCCACACCCTGTCACACACAAAGCCGCAGGGCGATCAGGGGGTTGGGGAGCTCCCCCCTATCAGGTACAGAGCAGGGCCGATCAGGGGGTTGGGGCGCCTTCCCCTGTCAGGAACAGAGCAGGGCAGATAGGGAGGTTGTGGCCCCACCCCGTCACACACAGAGCCACAGGGCGATCAGGGGGTTGGGGCGCTGCCCCCTGTCACGCTGATCCCGGTGCCGGGAGGCCTCGCAAGCTCCGCTGATCCCGGTGTTGGGAGGCATATTAACCTTTTACTATATAGAATAGAGGCCTGGTGCACGAGTGGGGGCCGGCTGGTTTGCCCTGAAGGGTGTCCTGGATTAGGGTGGGGGTCCCCACTGGGGTGCCTGGCCAGCCTGGATGAGGGGATGACCGCTGTTTGCAGCTGGTCACACACCCTTCAGGGTGGGGGTCCCCACTGGGGTGTCTGGCCAGTCTGGGTGAGGGGCTGAGGGCTGTTTTCAGGCTGGGACTGAAGCTCCCAACTGCTCCTTTTTTTCTTTTTTTCTTTTTTTCTGGGCCAGCTTTAGCTCTGAGGCTCCAGCTCTTAGGCCTCTGCTGCTGAAAGAAGGTATCTGGTTTGTTTCGGTTCTATAATCGAAACTCTGTATCAATTCCAGCTCTGAGATCCCGGTTCGCTGAAAGCAGGTTTCTGGGGTTTTGTTTAGCTTCTATATTTGTTACAATGTTTTTTAAACTGCAGGCTCAGAGGCCGGCAAGCAGGAGGGGAACATTGGTTTCCTCCATCACTGAAGCAAGCAAGCCTCATGTTAGTTTCAAGCTGCCTGGCTGCCGGCCGCCATCTTGGCTGGCAGTTAATTTGCATATCTCGCTGATTAGCCAATGGGAAAGGTAGCTGTCGTACGCCAATTACCATGTTTCTCTTTTATTAGATAGGATAGTACTGGAAGTCCTAGCCACAGCAATCAGACAAGAAGAAGAAATAAAAGGCATCCAAATTAGAAAGGAGGAAGTAAAACTCCCATTATTCGCAGATGACATGATATTGTACATAGAAAACCCTGAAGACTCCACCAAAACACTACTAGATTTAATAAATGAATTTGGCAATGTAGCAGGATACAAAATCAACACCCAAAAATCGATGGTTTTTTATACACCAATAATAAATTCTCAGCAAGAGAAACTAAGCAAACACTTCCATTTACAATTGCAACAAAAAAATATGACACTTAGGAATAAACTTAACCAAGGAGGCAAAAGACCTGTTCTCAGAAAACTATAGGAAGTAGAAAAAAGAGATAGAAGAAGATATGAACAACTGGAAGAATATTCCGTGTTCATGAGCTGGTAGAATTAACATCATTTAAATGTCCATACTACCCAAGGCAATCTACAGATTCAATGCAATCCCTATTAAAATACCAACAGCATATCTCACAGGTCTAGAACAAATACTCCAAAAATTTATATGGAACCAAAAGACCCCGAATAGCTGTAGCAATCTCGAGAAAGAAGAACAAAGTTGGAGGAATCACAATATCAGATATCAAGTTATACTACAAAGCCACCCTAATCACAACAGCCTGGTACTGGCACAAGAGGAGGCATATAGATCAATGGAACAGAACAGAGACCCCAGAAATCAACCCAAGCCAATACACTCAATTAATACTTGACAAAGGAAGCAAGAGCATACAATGGAGTCAAGAGAGTCTCTTCAATAAGTGATGTTGGGAAAATTGGATAGGTATTTGCAAAAAAAATGAAACTAGATCACCAACTTATACCATATACAAGGATAAACTCAAAATGGGTAAAAGACTTAAAAGTAAGACATGAAACCATAAAAGTCCTAGAAGAAACCATAGGCACCAAAATCTCAGACATCTCTCATAGCAATATGTTTACCAATACATCTCCTAGGGCAGTGGTCGGCAAACAATGGCTCGCGAGCCACATGGGGCTCTTTGGCCCCTTGAGTGTGGCTCGTCCAAAAAATACCACAAAATACCACGTGCGGGCGGACACGTACAGTGCGATTGAAACTTCGTGGCCCATGTGCAGAAGTTGGTTTTCGGAAAGGAGATAGACGAAACAAGTATACAAGACGAGTGTGGATGGGAGAGTTGGAAGGGGTCGACCTCAGCGAACGTACCTCAATCAGATTGAGGATGTTTTTAGCAAAGGCCAGCTTAGGAGTACCTTAATTAAGTTAATAACAATGTACCTACCTATATAGTTTAATTTTTAAAAAGTTGGCTCTCAAAAGAAATTTCAATCGTTGTACTGTTGATATTTGGCTCTGTTGACTAATGAGTTTGCTGACCACTGTCCTAGGGCAAAGGAAACTAAGGAGAAAATAAACAAATGGGACTATATCAAAAGAAAAAGCTTCTACACAACAGAAGAAACCATCAACAGCCCTAGCTAGTTTGGCTCAGTGAATAGAGCATCGGCCTGCGGACTGAAGGGTCCCAGGTTTGAGTCCACTGAAGGGCACATGCCCTGGTTGCAGCTTGATCCCCAGTAGGAGGCATGCAGGAGGCAGCCAATCAATGACTCTCTCTCATTATTGATGTTTCTCTCTCTCTCCCCCTCTTTCTTCCTCTCTGAAATCAATAAAAATAAAAAAATAAACCATCAACAAAACGAAAAGAGGTCCATTGTATGGGAAAATATATTTGGCAGTTATACATATGATAAAGGGTTAATATCCAAAATATATAAGGAACTCCTACAACTTAACAAAAAGAAGACAGACAATCCAATTAAAAAATGGGCAAAGGACCTAAACACTTCTCCAAAGTGGATATACAGATGGCCAAAAGGCGTATGAAAAAATCCTCAAAGATCAGCAGAGAGATGCAAATTAAAATGTCAATGAGGTATCACTTTACACCTGTCAGAATGGCTACCATCAACAAATCAACAAATAACAAGTGCTGAGGAGGATGTGGAGAAAAGGGAACCCTATGCACTGCCGGTCGGAATACAGACTGGTGCAGCCACTGTGGAAAACAGTATGGAGTTTCCTCATATGGAACTGCCTTTTGACCCAGTGATCCCACTTCTAGGAATATATCCTAAGAAACCCAAAACACCAATCAGAAAGAACAGCTAAGATCTGAAAACAGCCCAAGAGCCCATCAGTGGATGAGTGGATAAAAAAGGTATGGCAAATTTATACCATGGAATACTAGGCAGCTGTAAAAAAAAAAAAAAAAAAAAAAAAAAGAATTTCTTACCCTTTGAGACAGCAAAGGAGGGACCTGGAGAGTATCATGCTAAGTGAACTAAGTCAGTCAGAGAAAGACAAGTATCACATGATATATGGAATCTACTTAACAAAATAAACTAATGAATGGAATGGATACAGAGACATGGAAGCACTGAGCAGAGTGGGGAATCTCTCAGAGGGAAGGCAGGGAAGGGTGTGTAGGTGGGAGGTAATCAACCAAAGATCTTGTATGCACATATGTGTAACCCATGGACGCAAACAATAAGGGCCTGGGGTGGAGGGCAGGGGTAGAATGGAGGGGGTCAATGTAATACTTTCAACAATGAAGATTTTTAAAAAAGAACTCATAAGAAAATGGTGCTGGGACAACTGGCTATCCACATGCAAAACAATTAAGTTGGATTCCTTACTTCAAAAATTAATTCAAAATGGATCAATGACCTAATAATAACTCAAACGATAAAACTTAGAAGAAAACAGAGGTATCTTTTAAAATGGTTTAACTGGTACATAAAATGGTATATTTTATGTTATGCGTATTTTACAATCAAAACACAGTGTTAGGAGGTGAGATGAGAAAGATATTGGGAGGCTGGAGGCTGCAGAACTCATCCAGGTAGACCTAGGCAGGGCAGTGAGGGGCACAGTCATCCCTGTCCTGGGTGCAAACAGCCGTTATTAATCATAGCCTTGCAACCAGGATCTCACTTAGGGTAATGAGTAATGTAATTGGGTCACCATATACAGACAAAAGGGGTAGGTTATAAACATGGTGAGAAGGAAGAGGGGTGGTGGAAAGGCAGTGTGCACTTGGCTCTGAGTTCAAGGTGATTCAGCCCCTCCCTACTGCTCTGTACTTGCCAGCTCCACTGGAGAGATGGGACTAAAATAGTGCAGCCCTTCCAGGCTCAGGCTTTTAGCCAAGTGCCAGCCTGACCTTTCTGTAATGTTCCCTGTGCACTGAGGCAGAAAGGAAAACATCAACCATCAGCTTTTATTTCTGAAACTAATATTGAGTGGAGGATTGTAGCACCCAGGAAACTCAAGCCAGCTGTCTGCTCCAAGAGAGCAGCCAGAGGAGCCAACCAGGAGAGGCTAGGACTCCATCTCCTTAGGTTACAGGGCCTCCAGGAAAGTCACAGCTCAGGGTCTGCAAAGACCAGGGCATCCATCAGCAGCTGCCCAAACCCAAGGGCATGTGTGGAACCTGTGGAAGTAGCACCAGCTTCTAGGAGGGTGTGATAAGAAAAAAGGAAGAGGCTGTAATCCAGTGCAGGACACAGCCAGGTAGCCTAAGGATTCAAGCCATGTTCACCCCAGAAAGTGGTGAACAAGGCAAGACAGTGAGTGGCTACTGGTAAAGAACTGGAGAGGGGGCTTGAAGACAGATCCAAGCTGGCCCAGTTACCACTCTCCCTGCTATGGTGGAAGAGGGGCCCTCAGAGGCTGGCAAATAGGGCAAGAGAGGCTGAGTTGAGCCTCCAAAGAACAGTTCCCTCTGTACTGCCCCAGGTCTCACCTGTCCCCCAGGTTAGGGATGCCGACCAACTGGATGACATAGATCCCTATTTGACAAAAAAATACAAAGAAGAACACGAAGAAGCTGAAAGAGTTGTCCGACCTGTGGAGAGAAGGGGGAAACCAGAAGTCACAAAAGGGCTTGGGGCTCATCCCAGCATTCCTCATATGGTCTGACACTCCTCCTCACCAGAAGCCAGAGGCAGAATAGGGGGGAGTAAACAGAGCACCAGAGACTTGGTCACACTGTCTACAAACCCACAAACTGTAATCAGAAAGGGCTTGCCTTTCACTGCCTTCCAATCTAAGGGGACAATACTTAATCCCTTCCTCAAAGAACTAATGAAGTTGCTTCACCAAAGGACAATAGAAAGAGTGTAACAGTCCATCTTCCGGAGTACTGATCTGCATTTCATAACAGGGAAGAAAGTCTAAGCCAAAGGTATAAACCTCTAATAATAAAACTGTAGGCCTGAGTGGCAGGAAAGGTATTTGGGAAGTAGAAGACACTAGACAAAACTGGTGTTTTGAGCACCTCCATTTCCATGTCCATGAGGGCTAGAATACAGTGAGGGTTCAAGTCCTCCCTGCTGAGTGCATCCCAGCCCTGAAAGCATCAGCTCTGAGGCACAATTCCAAAAGCCCTAAGGGTCTGTAAAGTGGATCCATTAAAGTCCACAGAATCTATTCTCGGCCAGCTGGTCAAATACTGGCATTTAGCGATGCTCCACAGTTACTAGGAAAGTAAAGGGAGGGGCATAAGTAAGCATGGAGAGATAAGCTATTAAGAGCGTAACTCAGAGTCTGACTCTATCATAGAATATCCTAGAGCAACAATTTTCAACCTTTTTCATATCATGGTACACATAAACTACTAAAATTCTGTGGCACAACAAAAATATACTTTTTGCCAATCTGACAAAAAATAGGTATACTTTTGATTCATTCACACTGAACAGCTACTGTGTTTGCTGCTGTCATTTTTTTATTTGACAATCTAAGGGAAAAGAGGTCAGTGCCCATGACTAAATAGTCAAGTACTGCATGTTTTAAAATGCTTGCAGCACACCGGTTGAAAATCGCTGCCCTAGAACCTTGGAAGGGAGCTGAGGAAGTCCCTTCCTCTTCCCAGTGACTGATATCCTCCTGCACCAAACAGACTGGGTGCAGTGGAAGGACAAGTAAGGCTCGTGCTCCCCTCTCTAGGTCTCCTTTCCTGGTCCAAGAAGAGGGCCCAAAACAGACCTTAGGTACAACTGAGGAAAATGGCTCCTGATCCCTGCCAACTCTGGCTGTGGATGGGAATGGGAAGTGAATTTCCCATGATCTATTCTGCTCTGACTGGAATGGGATCCTAGGGCTCATGGCCTTGGCTTGCTACCTGGGATGCCAGCATTATACTCCCCCCCTTGTCCCATCCCCACTCACCTGAAGGCCTTATAGATGGGTCGGTACCAACAAAGGAAGGCACAGGGGGTGAAGATCACGAACCACAGGATTGAGAGGCCAAAGTCTACTCCCTTGCTGCTGTCGACTAAGAACCAGGCCAGGCAGGCAAGCAGGTTCAGAAACAGAGTCACTGAATGCACTGTGGAAGGGGGGGGAGACAGACGTGGGCTGGTGCCAAGGTGGCTGAAGGGCTCCCAGATATGTCAAACTATCCCCTAGAAAGGAGATGAGGTCCATGCTGTCAGGGCAGCTGCAGCAAAAGTAGAGGACCTCGGTCTATACCCAGGCAGGGCTAGCTCCTGTCCTTGCTTTTCTGGGACCTCAAAACCAGGGACCAAACCAAGCTCCTCAGAGGTGATGGGACAGCCCAGGTATCAAAGGGGTGGCCATGGAGAGGGCGCAGACCCAATAACTGATCCTTGGGGAATGGAGTCCTTCTCTAAGCAACTCTTTTCCCTGGCCCTGGATGGTCCAAAGGATAGCAACAGGGAGTCTTTTATCCTCACTTCTAGGAGCCCAAGGGTCTGTGGAGAGGGGAAGCCTCCACCGAAGGAGAACCTTTTAGTGCAATGAGCTCCCCAAGAACTCAGAAGACTCCAGCTAGTCTCACCCTACTTGATGCATGGTCTGCACTCGCCCTTGAGGTCGGAGGTTCCCATGACAGGAAGCAGTCTTCAGAGGGCCAATTATGTAGGCAAAGATCCCCACCCCAGCCCAACCAGCACTGAGAAAGGCTGGAGTCTGCCAGGGAGGAGCAGCCAGAGCATAGACAAGGATCTCAAGACACAGTCCATTTCAGCCCTAAGCTCAGAGGTGCAGGAGCTGGACTCACACATCCAGAGATAGTAAAGCATCTTGCATATTCGCTGGTAGTCAGCAGGGATCTCTGTGGAGAAGTCTTGATAGAAGCAGGGCTTGACAGGGCACCACAAAGGCAGAGGCGGCCAATTGTTCTCTCTCACTGTGTAGAAGGAGATAACAAGATGAGGCCCAGCTTATGGGCCAATTCAGGACCTCCAGAGGGGCGTCAACAAGTGGGGTTCAGGGTACTCATGGATATAAAGTAGGAAGGAAAAAGGATGATAGGACATAAACACCCACACGATCAGTGCAAGATAATGGACCCCAAATGTACTGGGAAACACAGAGCTAAACAGCCTAAGTGATTATTTTTTTGAACAGCCTATAACCAAGGAATAGTGGGGCCAGTGCCCCCATTCTTATCCAACAATTTTACAGCTGAAAAGGAATGCAGAAATAATCTACACCCATTAAGGTTACACTACAGGTCTCCTGACTTCCACTTACTGCTCTCCCCAGGACCAACACCATTCTAAGATGATCAGGAGCTCAGCAAAGAGCTGAGGCTGCCCCAGGAACAAGCAGGCTGAGGGAACTCTCCTGCACCAGGACGGGAACCCAGGACCTAGTGTGGCCTCCCTTACCATGTAAGTTGGCCACAGTGTTCTGCAACTCCCGCTCTTTTCGTTCTAGCTCGGCTGCTTTCCTGTCCAGTTCTTCCTGCTGCCGGAGTAGGCTTGCCTGGGCTGCAGAGGCCACAGCCTGGAGCAAAAAGGGAAGTGGAAAGCAACCAAACATGAGAGACAGAGGAACAGTGTTGGCCTGACAGGAAGTCACAGGGCCCATGCCCCATGCAGGGAGAGCCAGCTGGGAGTTCCAGGGGTAGTCCCACCCCCTCCAATGTCTTGGGCACCTGAGACCACCAAAGAGAGGCCAAGGGACCTGTCCCCTACTGCTCTTAAAACACCTCTGTGGCCCCTTTGCCATTATCAGGGTTCTCCTCTCCCCTTCATTCTGAAACTTGAGATAAGAGAACCATCCTCCATACTGTAGTCCAGGCCAAGTTCAATTACATTGACCTTTGGGGTGATAGCAAAGGGCAGAAGGCGTCACAACAGACTGTCCTGTAGTCAGAAACCCAGAGACCTAAGCCTCACTTGAGAGCCTGGAGGGTGTGTGTGTGAAGGGAAACAGTGCAAACCTGCCAGAGTGAGTGGGATGGGGAAGCATTTGAGGCCATACTGTGTACCTGGAACCAGAGGGATGTATTTTCAAGCACCTGCACCTACTCCATTCCCAGGAACTGCCCCCTGAGGTCCACCGGAACTGTTACTGGCTACATCCCAGTACAGCCCCTTAAGGTTGGCCCTGCTCTGCCTGGCTTTGATGGTGTGCAGAGTCAAAGCTTTATCCCCTCTCCAGGCAGAGCAACGCCTTTGAGTGAAGCAGCTAGAGGATTCTACGTGAGGCTGAGCAGAGCTGGGTCCAGAGTTCCAGCCCAGAGCCCAGTTCCTCCAGAAGGCTACAGTCCTTTTTAGGGAGCAAATACCAAGCTGGTCATCTCACAGGATGATAAGCCAGGCATATGTGTACATACATATGTGTGTTCTCTATCTCTCCAAAATGAGTTCTCCAAAGAGCTAAGGCTACCTTCAGGAGGTAAATTTCAGGCACTAGGGGTAGAAGCAGGAGCAGAATTGACCACGGTGAGGGTCTTAGCCTATTTCTCCAAGTCTGTGACTTCAGTTGAGCTGGACCCAGGACCCACCACCCAGCTGAACAAGAAAGTCTCTGCCTCTAAGCCTTGCCTCACAGCATTCTAGGCCATGGGTGGGGCCCAGGATCCCAGGATTCCAGGATTCCATGCAGGGGCAGCACTTGCAGAGTAAGTCTGGCCAAATGACAGGAGCAGCCTGGGGCCCACTAGAATCCAGGCATCTTGCCCTCACTCACGCTCACCTATACTTTGCCTACCTTTGGAAGCTTTTGCATGTAGCTGTCTCTGAGAATACTATCTCCTCCTAGTAGCATCTGCCTCTCTGAGAGCTTGCTCACTGCCAGGAAACTGGTAGGCAGGAACTTGCTGGCCTGTCTAAGGAGGAGCTGCAACATACAACTCCACTGAGGATCATGCTCACCAGGGGCAGTGAAGAGCGTGGGGTAAACAGTGAGGCAAGGGACAGAGGGTTGGGTACCAAGCAGACAAGATTCACGGTATTTGGTGAAGGGACAAAGAAAAATAAGAAGGAAGACAGGAATAAATAAGGTTAGAAAAAAAAAAAAGATATATTCCGGGCCCTGAGTAAAAAAAGGCCTCAGGTGGATCTGGAATGGCATGAGGGGCAATGCTCTGTCTGAAGATACCCAGAAGCCCAGCCTGGTGAGTAGGGCTTATTTTTTGGTGCTGGCAGTGGGGGGGGGGGGGGGGGGGGTGAGGGTTTATGTGAGGAGACCCTCCACATGCAAGTGACAAACTCCAAAGAGATTATTAAGAGGCCCTTGAAGGGAAGCCAGAGAATAAGAACCCCCCTGCCCACCCCGATCTCAGGATTCAGCTACTAGTCTGGGTGCTTCCCTTTCTGGAAAGGAGAGGCAAAAGGGATCTTTGTCAACAGTACCTGGGGGGTTGGCTGGGTTGGTTCCACTGAGGGCTGGAGAACCGCTGGCTGCGAGGGCCCAGGAGGCTGGGTGACAGGAACCGTTGTTGCTGCATTTGTCTGCTTGGGACAGATTAAAGGAGTGAGGTGAGTGGGATGCCATTAGTTGGCCATGTGGGAGGCAAATCCACAACAGGGAGGGTGATATGCCCCTTCCTATGAGGAGTACTCCCTCTGGATCTCCCTCTGTAGCTTTTCAGCCAACAAGCCTCAGGCTCTGAGCAGTGTGAGGCCTAACCTAGGATCCCTGGCCTTTTTGGGTCCAGAGCTCCTGGCACTGCCCTGCCCTCTTCAGGAGGAGCCCAGATCATGGACCCTAAGAGGAGAACTGGTGGCTTCCTCATCTTACCCCCACCCCTCAAGTTCACGTTAAGACTGTCCCTTTGAGCCTTAGCCAGTTTGGCTCAGCAGATAGAGTGTCAGCCTGAGGACTGAAGAGTCACAGGTTCGATTCCAGTCAAGGGCACATGCCTGGGTTGCAGGCTCGATCCCTTGTAGGGGGTGTGCAGGAGGCAGCCGATCAATGATTCTCTCTCATCATTGATGTTTCTATCTCCCTCTCCCTTCCTCTCTGAAACCAATAAAGATATATTTTTTTAAAAAATAAAAGACTGTTCCTTTGAGCCTGGCCACTGTGGCTCAGTGGTTGAGCATCAACCCATGAACCAGGATGTCATGGTTCAATTCCCGGTCAGGGCACATGCCCGGGTTTCAGACTCGATCCCCAGTAGGGGGTGCACAGGAGGAAGCCAATCAAATGTTTCTTTCTCATCATTGATGTTTCCATCTCTCTCTCCCTCTCCCTTCCTCTCTAAAATAAATAAAACATATTTAAAACAACAACAACACAAAAAGATTGTCCCTTTGAGAACTGCAGATTCTCAGAACACTCAGTCTTGCCAAGGCTCCTTGCCCCAGAGACCCCAGCACCACCCAGAGGACCCAGGGACTCATAAAGAGGACATGCTCACCAACCTCTGAGAAGGGGTTGAATTCAGCCAGGCCACCTTGTGGAGCACTGGTCAGCTGGGTCACAGAGGGATCCTGAGGAGGTAAAAAAGAGCCATTAGACGCTGAGGAGAAGGAGAACAGACATAACCACCTCAGGGCCAGCAGGCAATCCCAGGGAGCCGGCTAAGTGAGGCCGCTGATGGCCCTTCCTAGTGTTCTGAACAGCCTCTTCTGAAGACTCCTGTGCCCGGCCCCTGCCACAGAGAGCTGCAATCTCTTTCCTCTTTCTGGAAAAGGAGGGGTTCAGCCCAGATGACTTTCCAGAAGATACAAAGCAAGCTTTATACTCTGAGGCCTGGGAATCGATACAAAAATGTGTTCTTGTTAGTGCCCTTCATGGATTCATAACGGCTCCTAGTATTTACCCCCAGGGAGTGGGGTTTTATGGTGGGGGTGGGGTGGGGGTGAATGGGTGGATATTTTTCACTTTATAACCTTTCTGTAATGTTTTATTTATTATTTTATTCCTCTTATTTTTAAAAGGACAGCTACAGGTCTTAGAACAAAAGCATGCTGCTAGGTGCTAGTGCTGACTGATTAAATCAAGCGTGCTTACTAGGAATAAAGAGATATAAAGGGCTCAGATAAAAAGCCAGGGAAATGTTTTTGGTTATTTTTTTCTCTCGATTCTTTTAAAAAATACAAAAAGATCCTCAGAACACAGCTTGTCCTAAGTTTTTAATCTTCCCTTTCCCATCTGATCTCTGCCAAGGCCAGCCCTGCACAGGGCTCCCTGCCACCCTCTTCACCCAAGCAGCCTCCAGGCTGACCTAAGGCCAGTCTGTCTTCATCCTGTCCTCACCCAGCAGAGCTCCTACACACTCCCCCTTCTCCATACATATAGGTATGGGGCTCGGGTTTAGCTCAACACAATGCCTGGGTTTTGGGAGAAACAGCTGTGAAGAGTAAGCAGACTGCCACTGGACTCTGTCAAGGACCCTGTTACAAGGCCTTACCTAGGCTCCCCTGTCTGCACACTTCACCCTCCATCACTCACTACTCATCCAGATGCTCCTGTCCTTCCGGCCCAGCCTCACTTCCACCAGGAAGCCTCCATAAGTTGGATTTTTAAACACAATGTTAACATTAAATAGGCCCCATGGAACCCCCTAATTTTTCTATACGGAAAAAGACAATAGGGTCACCATAAACAAATCCTGTCTCCACTAATAGGCCATAAATTCTGCACCAGGTGTCTAGTTCATACTCTGGCTTCCCAGTGCTTCGTGAAGGTCTGTGTAGAGCAGAAGCTCAAGTAATTTCTGCGAGTAAGCGCTGCATGTTGTAGGTCCTCTGCTTTCTCTAGGAGGCACTGCCCAAATGCTAGGGCATAGAGGAGCGTCTGCATCACAGCAGCAGCCTTGGGGCCGAGAAACACCTTGCCCTGGAAGAGGAGCCTGGAACAGGAACACCCTGGGAGACAAGGATACTTCCCATCTGAGAACACCTGGGCTCTTCTGCAAGTTGTGGGTGGTTTCAAGAGAAGCTGAGGCCTAGGGATAGAGGTAGGGAGGAGGAGGGGCTGAGGAAGGGAGCTAACATTTACTGAGTGTCTACTATGTGCCAGGCTTACCACACCAGGATGCTACTGTGAAATTCTAGTCACCCCAGACCTGGCCACTGTGTCAAGCCATCCAAAAAGAAGGTTCTACTAGCCTCTCTCAACCTGGTTCCTCAAGAGAATTAAGCCCCACTATCCTAAGGCATCCACTGTCTGCCATGACTTGACTTCTCTCCCGTGCATCTTGAACCATCCTGGTTATATCCTATCCTTGAGAGAATGGAGAAAACAGTCAATCAATTTCTGTGTCCTGTGGCTCAGCTGAGGATCCCTGGCTGAGAAAAGCTACACCCTCTCCTCCACATTCCACCTCACGACCACCCTGTGAGGGAGGAATATTAATAGTTTGCAGCTGGAGAAAGCCTCCACTCAGAGAGGGGAAGCAGCTCATCCAAGATTTCAGAAGTAGTGCTGAACCTGACTCTGAATCCAAGGCTGTCTGTCTCCAAAGACAAAAGTGATAAACCTGGGAGGGAAAGACCCAGTTCTACCTTGTTTAGCAGTGCACCCCCAAAACCTGGAATAGCGCCTGACAAATGGAAGGTGCACCATCAATGTGTGGTTGAATGAACCCCACTCTAGAAGGACACTGACGCAGGCACTGTGAGTGACCGGGATAACTGCTTCTGCTCATTTCTTTATTCCCAGGCCTCAGAGAAGTCCTTCTTGGGAAACACCCTTTGTAGGACACATGCAGAGAGTCTTGTGACTAAGAACCACACTGACTGGCCTGAATGAGGATCCTCAGCTTTTACTCTGAGTCACAAATAAGAAGTCAACAACAGCAATCCTTTTCCACTCACCGAGCATTAACTAATTCATAAGTGGGTCAAGTAGTTATTTAAAAGGATAGTGAGCCCTAGCTGGTTTGGCTCAGCGGATAGAGCGTAGGCCTGCAGACTGAGGGGTCCAGGTTTCAATTCTGGTTAAGGGCACATGCTCAGGTTGCAGGCTCGGTCCCCAGTGGGGGGGCATGGGGGCTCGGTCCCTAGTGGGGGCATGCAGGAGGCAGCCGATCAATGATTCTCTCTTATCATTGATGTTTCTATATCTCTCTCCCTCTCCCTTCCTCTCTGAAATCAATAAAAATATTTTTTAAAAATAAACAAACAAATAAACAAATAAATAAATAAAAGGATAGTGAGAGCTAAGTTTCACCTACAAAGAAGTAACCTAAAACCCCCTCAATGCCAAAGGCCCCAGACTGGCTAATGCCTTTTACTTAATTTATAACAAAATGCTCCTGAACTCATTTTCATTCCGTTAACATTAGGTACACACTAAGATGAACAAGGCACAGCTCTTGCCTTCTGGAGTCCACGATCTGGTAGCTGAGACATGCACAAGAACTCAGGGCAGGATGAAGACAGGAAGGGAGGAGAAGAGAGGTCTAGGCAGGGCTTTGAGGAAGGTAGGGTTCTAGAAGGAAGGGAGGAAGGTGAGCAAAGGCCCAGTGAGTAAGGCTCACCACAGCTCTGGGGCAGGGGAACATTTCCATGTCATTAGGGTGTGAGGGACCCAAGGGAAAAGAGGCAGAGTTAGGCTGGAGCTCTTCCAGGAGGGGCCTTGAAACACACACTGGTTTTCCGTGGTTTGGCAATGTCTTCCCACGTGGTTCACAGGTCCTGCTGTGAGCTAGCTCTTTGGGACTTTTCCTTGTTTTCCCATCCTATACTCTACCCAATAAACCCTACTGTGGAGTTTATTTCTGGCTCCAAATCAACATTAAATAAATACCCTGTGGGCTAAAAAACACTCCGCCATTCTATCTGGGAGGCATGGAGTCTCCAATACTTTAGGAGCTCTGTGAAGTCCTATTTGCTTTAGAGGCTATGTCACACAACAAGAAAAAAACAATCATCCCCAGACAGGCTGACTGGGTCCCAAGTGTACCAAGAGCCACAGTTAACCTTGGTACTTCGACCCAGAACCTAAGAATTCATCCTAAGGAAATATGACAAAAACATATAAAAATCTGTATCTGCAAAGACACTTATTGCACCAGTATTTACAATAGTAGAAAAAAGCAGAAAACAACTTAAATATCCAATGACAGTAAGCACAAGCATGTTTTGGTACACATTCCCTCAATGGCCTAAGCAGCCATTAAAAATTACAGCAGTGGCCCTGGCCAGTGTGGCTCAGTTGGTTGAATGTCGCCCCATGCATCAACGGGTCATTTGACTCCTGGTCAGGGCTCATGCCCGGGTTGCAGATTCAATCCCCAGCAGGGAGCATGCAGGAGGCAGCCGATCAATGTTTCTCTCTCTCACTCTCAAATCAATAAAAACAGATATATATATATATAATTAAAGCTATGAACATAGGGAGCAATACAGCAATACATTTTGTCCAAAGTACTCATGAAAAGAGACTGGCAGGAAAACACATCAAAATAATAATAGTTGCAAAAGACTGGTAGAAATGGATGCCTTAATTTTATTTTCCATCATGTGATTGTTACTTTTATTTTAGGGAAACACATACTTTTAAAAAGAGCCTGTGTCATCCCGGGCCTCCCTCCCTGCCACAGACAGTGAGTCTGAGCCGCCAGGCCTGGCTTGGAGGCCCCATGACCTGGCACAGCACAACCTGGCACAGCACCTCTCTCAGCACAGTCCATTCTCAGTCAAACTGAGCCACTCATCATTGCCTTCACCACTGTCTGTTGCTACAGTACAAACCATTCCACACCAAGCACAGGGCGAGGATACCAAGGAAAAACATTGGTTCCTGCCCTCAAGAAGCAAATACTAGTACAGAGCACAAAACAAACCAAGGCAGAGATAGCACACAGTCAGTGCTGAAATAAGGTGAGTGCAGATGCAAGGGGATCACAGAGGAGGAAGGGACTAACCTATCTGCAAGAGTCAAGAAAGACTTTACTGCCCTGGCCTCCTGGCCCCCTGGAACATAATGGCTCAGTTGGCTGGGTGTCATCCTGTGCCAGTTTGATTGCAGTACCGGAAGTGCAGGGGGCACCTATCCATATTGTGCTCTCACATTGATGTTTTTCTTCTTCTCTCCCTTACTCTCTCTCTAAAAATCAATAAAGTAAAGGAACCAAGATGGCGGCATAAGGTACAAACCTGTACGTGCTGCCCCCCACAACAACATTAAAACCACAACTATAAGACAAAACAGCTATCATCCAGAACCACAGGAAAGCTGGCCGAGTGGAAGTTCTACAACTAGAAGGAAAGAAAAAAGCGCACTGAGACCGGGTAGGAGGTGCAGAGGTGCCAAGAACAGAGGTACAGAGGCCCGCACGAGGCGGCTGCATCTGGGTGCGCGGTTTTTTTCAATCAGAAAGTGAGACAAGCTCTCAAATGCACTAAACTCATTTACAGTGAGACTCTGGGGTCCCAGACTCCTAAGGGGAGAAGCGGGTCGCAAAGCGAGGGTGACTTTCTCGCAGAGCTGCTCGCAGGGATCATTGTTGCTTTGGGGGCGCAGGACTCGGGGGACGCAGAGACCCCAGGAGTCATGGAGCCGGCTGACGACAGCCATTGCTGCTTGCTCCGCCCTGGTGATTCTGAGACCCTGCCCCACACAATTTACATCCCCACCCCAGCTGTGCGCAGTGGCGCAAAGGAATCACCTGCACTTTTGCAGCCTAACCTAACAAACTGCAGCTGGGTCAGAGAGCTCCAAAACTTCCAAACCCCAAACAAAGAGGAGAAATCTACTGGTATCGCTGTAGCTCCTGCTGGGTGGACTCACACAGTGGTTAACTTGGAGATCCAGGAGCCAGGGTACCCCTGGTCAGACACCAGATTTCAACTCCTCACATCCATAAGGGACACACTCAAGAAGCAGACTCAGTGAGCACCAAAGCCCCACCGAAGCAAGTACTACCCCATAAGGTTGTCTCCAGCACAGCAGTTCTTCCACTGTAGACACAGCGGGTCCTCTCAGTCAGCCAAAAATGTGAAGACAAAGAAACATGTCACAAATGAAAGAAAGGGAGGAAAGCAAACTAATGGAGGACACAGAGTTCAAAACCACAGTTATAAGGCTACTCAAGAATCTTCTACGAACCTCCGAGGAACTTAGTGAGACCTTCGAGGATCTTAATGAGAATGCCAAAAAAATGGAAAAGGACCAGTCAGAAATTAAACACACACTGACTGAAATTTAAAATAATATACAGAGATCCAACAGCAGATTCAAGAATCAAGTCAAAGATTTGAAATACGAAGAAGCAAAAAACACCCATCCAGAAAAGCAAAATGAAAAAAGAATCCAAAAATATGAAGATAGTGTAAGGAGCCTCTGGGACAACTTCAAACATACCAACATCGGAATTATCGGGGTGCCAGAAGAAGAGAGAGAGCAAGATACTGAAAGCCTATTAGAAGAAATCATGACAGAAAACTTCCCCTACCTGGTGAAAGAAATAGACTTACAAGTCCAGGAAGCAAAGAGAACCCCAAACAAGAGGAATCCAAAGAGGACCACACCAAGACACATCATAATTAAAATGCCAAGGGCTAAAGAAAAAGAGAGAATCTTAAAAGCAGCAAGAGAAAAACAGTTAGTTACCTACAAGGGAGTACCCATACGACTGTCAGCTGATTTCTCAACAGACACCATGTAGGCCAGAAGAAAGTGGCAAGAAATATTCAAAGTGATGAATAGCTAGAACCTACAACCAAGATTACTCTACCCAGCAAAGCTATCATTTAGAATTGAAGGTCAGATAAAGAGCTTCACAGATAAGAAGAAGCTAAAGGAGTTCATCACCACCAAACCAGGATTATATGAAATGCTGAAGGATATTCTTTTTTTTTTTTTTTAAATATATTTTATTGATTTTTTACAGAGAGGAAGGGAGAGAGATAGTTAGAAACATCGACGAGAGAAACATCGATCAGCTGCCTCCTGCACATCTCCTACTGGGGATGTGCCCGCAACCCAGGGACATGCCCTGGACCGGAATCGAACCTGGGACCCTTCAGTCCACAGGCCGACGCTCTATCCACTGAGCCAAACCGGTTTCGGCAGGATATTCTTTAAGAAGAGGAAGAAGAAGAAAAAGGTAAAGATAAAAATTATGAACAACAAAGTGACAACAAATAAATATCTATCAACAAGTGAACCTAAAAATTAAGTCAGAATAAACTGGTGAATATAATAGAAGCAGGGCATAGAACAATTCTGGGGGGGAAGGAGGTGTGGGAGGTGCAGGAAGAGACTGGACAAAAATCTTACACCTATGGATGAGGACAGTGGCAGGGGGTAAGGGCATGGGGTGGGGTGGGAACCAGGTGGAGGGGAGCTATGGGGGGAAAAAAGAGGAACATCTGTAATAATCTGAACAATAAAGATTTATTAATTTAAAAAAATAAAAATAAAAATCAATAAGGTATTCTTTTATTTTTATTAATTTCAGAGAGGAAGGGAGAGGGAGAGAGATAGAAACATCAATGATGAGAGAGAATCATTGATCAGCTGCCTCCTGCACGCCCCACACAAGGGATCACCCTGGGGAAAGAGCCACAACCCAGTCATGTGCCAACTGAGAATAACTGTGACCTCCTGGTTTATAGGTCTACGCTCAACCACTGAGCCATGCCAGTCAGGCTAAACTACCATTTAAAAAAAATAAAAAGAAAGGCTTTACTGAGGTGGCCTCTCAGTTGAGAAATAAATTTAGCAAGCACTAAAGGGCAAGGCAAAAATAAAATTTGCAGAGACTTGGCACCTTTAAAAACAGCTTGCATGTGTTCAGGGAACAGGAGAAGGTTCTGAGGGCTGTGGAGTGGTGTGTGTACAGAGAGCAGCCAGGAGCACCAGGAATCCAACCTGAAGAAGGGGTAGGGCCAGACTGCAGAGTTTGGACTTTACCCTATGGGCAATAGAGGAAAACCAGAGATTGTGAGCAGGGATTGCCATGATCTCCTCTGCCAGCAGTGGGGACTGTACAATACTGGAGGAAGGATGCCGGGAAGACTGGCTGGGACACAGCAGTTCACTCGGGTGATAGTGAGGCCTGAACTAAAGTATGACAGCTGGGGACAAGGGAAGAGGGGATAGACCCCAGAGACCCTTTTCAGGTAGATGCCATAGGGTTGGGCACTCTCTGGATTGGTAGGGATATGGCATTACTACAAAGCAAGAGAGGAGGAGGCAGGGAAGGGAAAGGAAGGAGTTGAGTTGCCAGCTTGGGTAACTGGGGAACAGGGCGACGACCACTGAGCATGATAAGTGATCACAGGACAAAAAGAACAGGTTTTTCAGACGTGGGTGTGTGGGAGCAGGAAGAGGATCCGAGAAGATACTGAGTCAAAATGGAGATACATATGGAATATAACTGGTTGGAATGGATGGAAATGTCCAAGTGGGAGATGGATACTGGTTTGAAACTCAGGAGATAAGTGAGAGCTAGATAAAGGACTAGATCTGGGATCGTTGTT